TAAAAAAAGAGAAAAAGAGTATAGTAAGGAAAAATGAATTCAGCTTTGCAAAATGTTATATTTGGTAGACAGTGGAAATACCAAGCAGACAATTAGAGATGACAAGTGTGGGTCGAGACACTTTCCCACACCATCAAGTGGAAAAGGACAATGAAGGAAGAGTAATGTGCGTGCTCAACACAGATCTGTCTCCTGTGATGCCATTATGCCAGAAGGATGCTGCTCTGAGTCCCAGCTGCTCTACTTCCAATTCAGCTCCCTGCCAATGTGCCTAAAAAGGCGGTGGAAGGTGGTCTGTGTTTGGGCCCCAAATCCATAGAAGAGAACCAGATGAAACTTCTGGGTCTGGCCTGTGCAAGTCTTGCCCACTATGACCACTTGGGCATGAAGTAGCAGATAGAAGCTGCTTCTGTTTCTCTCTGAACTTTGCTTTTCAAATGGGTAAACAAATCTCAAAAAATTAAATTAAAATTCATTATACAAGGGATCTCCAAAAAGTTAATGGAAAGTGAGTATTATGAAAAAGCCACGGATTTCTATTTTTTCTAGACCAAAATAAATTCCTAATTCCACTTTTTATGATATATGATATGTCTGAAGTACTATAATACATTTAATATCTTTAAAAATCTTGCATGTTCTCTATGTGGTCTCTTATTAAACATGAGTAAACATAAAATTTGTAGCTTATATACTGAAGTGTGTGAATGTGTGGTGTTTCCCTCAAGGTGATGCAATTACTCGGGGACTCAGGCAATACTGAAATAGGAAAGGAGGCCATAAGTATCACATGTAAAGGCACCAGTGGAAAAAAATTAATATTTTAAGAAAATGAGAAAAAATATCCCTCATCTGATATACAGAATCCTGAAAGTTGGCAAATCAGAGAATAAGGTGGGGAAAATAAGGTTACGTGATATGTCACAAGTTCACACATGGTATTGCTATCCTTAACAAGATTTATAATTTGTTTAAAAAGATTAAAATACTAAGGCTTACAGATGTGAAGTTTCTTAAATTAAAATAACATTAGTTGTTGGCATGATCTGGCACGGGCATTAGAAAGCCCAACTCGAATGACAGGAAGGGAAGAGGGGCTGACAATGTGAAAGAACCGTGAAAGCAGCCTGGGAGTCTCCATCAGGGAACCTGCAAACACTGTTTAAAGCAGAAGAGAGGAAGGAAACAGGTTCAATTTGTGTAAAAAGAGACTGAATAAAATAAGACATACAAGAATATTCTTTCCATTGTGGTGTGTATGCAGATGAGATTTGGAAGTAGTGATGCTCAAAGCCATAGCAGGAGATTGCTTCAGGGGTAGAGGGTGTACGTGTGAAGGGAATTACATAAAGACAAGACAATGGAAAGTGCCATATGTAAACAGAAGAGTGAATACAGCCACGTAAGTAAAGCCAGGAAAGTAATGGAAAAATAAGGATAAAAGGTTATGGCTGCAAAGTGCAGTTTCAACAAAAGAACAGATTATTCCATAGAATGAAGGGTGAGGCTGTTGACACATATAACATCTCTGGGGTCAGATGCCAGGCAATGCTGGGAAACGCAGCAGCTAAATGTTCACCTACAAAACAAAGAACAAGGAGTACCGCTTGGTAGTTAGGGGATGGAATCCGGACACAATCCCAGCTTGCCCAAACTTTCTAAGTTCCAATTTTCAATCCATAATTCATACCAACAGTGCTCATGTCCTCATAAAATTATGGTGAGGAAAAAAAAAATGACATTACGCAAAGAACTTAAACCAGTGCTAGACAAGTAGGAAGTCAAGGCCAGGATGTGTGACAAAGACCATCTTTTCTCACAAAGCAAAAGCAAATCATTTTGCTGCTGTAGTCAAAAAAGCCCATGTTGATTCTAAACTACAGGATTCTTGGGTGGAACCACTGTGTGAGACTATGCTAAATATAAACACATATGAATGTATATCCTAAAAATAAAGCAGGAATTAAAATATAGTACAATGGGAGTGAATGTTTAGTGTCAATATGCCTGCATCTAACATTGGATGATGCCAGCTTCCTGACAAAGCAAATCCTGAGAAGCAATGATTGCTCAGGTGACTTTGTGCCACTCCTGTGACAGACCCTGGCAGCATCCCTGGACCCTGTCCTTGCCCGCTCTGACCCCAGCCACTGCAGACATCTGAGGAGTGAATCAGTGGATGATAACTCTCTTGTCTCTCATTCTGTTTAGTTAATAAAATCTTTAGGGGATGGTCCTGTGGCATCTCAGGCTAATCCTCTGCCTGCAGTGCTGGCATCTCATATGAACGCCAGTTCTTGTCAGCTGTTCCACTTCTGATCCAGCTCTCTGCCCATGACCTGGGAAAAGAGCAAAGGAGGGGAGACAGAGAAGCAGCTCCTGGCACAGCTTCCAATCAGCTCAGCTCTGGCCATTCCAGCCATCTGTGGACGGAGGACCTCTTTCTCTGCATCTCCTCTGACATCTGCCTTTTAAGTAAAAATAAATCTCTGAAAAAATAAAATATTTAATATTAAACACAACTGGGTCTTCAGTCTGAGAAAAAATAATTAGGTCAAAAGTCAATACAATACAGAAGATTTCTTATACTGTCCAGGGGAACGTTAAGATGGCCAGGAGGTGGAGTCCTCTAGAATGTGTTGCCAAACAAAACTCCAGAGTGAAGGATGACTCATGAGGTCAATAAAGCTCACTACTTAGATATTTAATTCCCTCTCATTTAATCACCAAATTACCTTGAGTACTATGTTTTTCAACTAATCTCAGTATTGTTATTGACATCTTGACTAGTCAACAGATATAAAATGATTGAGCTTTGCAGCAGTTTTGTAAGTTTAAACATTGGTCATTCTAGTTTTGAGAACGGACAGGGTAAAATCGGTCATTCTAGTTATGAGTTGCTTCTGGGACACAACGCTACGCCCTCAGGCCTTCAGGGGCAGAGCTTAAATCAGGCTAAGGAAACTCAGAGTGTCCACCTAGGGCTACTGCAGCGACAACTAAGAGTAAATTACGTGTTTTGATTTCTAGCTACCTATCCAGACCTATGCCTGACAGGAAATCAGGAGACAAAAGATAACAACGAAGTAAGGGCGAAGTCTAATCCTGTGGTGTAAATCAAACCACATGCACCTGTCTATACGTGCTTACTGGAAACCGCACAAACAGTATTAAATAAGTGGATCACAAGACTCACGGAAGAGGACTGCCAAAAATCTATCTCCACGGATTAAAAGACACAGGATCAACATCACTATTATGTGGTTTCAGATCATAGTCTCCCCAAACCCACAGACTGTCAGGACCTCAAAGGCTTGCTCATGCAGCCCTGCAATGGACACAGTGCAGATGTAGCTGCTACTTTTATGGAACACCTACAGGCACATTGCAACCACACCTAGTCACTCGCTGCTTCCTGCCACTTCTGTATGCCACCCCCAAACGTCCCGCGAGTAGAGACAGTTTGTAGAATCATTGCGGGGTGGTGCTGGTGGTGGGGAGATCCCACAAGCACTACATCATGTAGCCCAAAGTCACACACAAATAACTTTTCTGCTGATCCATGTAGAATGTAAGACTCCACCTGTAAGAGATGGAATGTAAGGAATGCAACATGCTGGGACCAACTCCTTGGTGTGGCAGGTTATAGGGTGGCACCTGCTTCAGTTCCAGACCAGATCCCTGCTGCTGTACCTGGTGAAGCAGTGGAACATGGCCAAGTGCTTAGGCCCCTGCACCCAGACACCTGCAAGAAGCTTCTGGCTCGGCCTGGCCCAGCCTGGCAGTTGCAGTGAATTGCAGAGTGAACAAACAGATGGCTGTTCTCTCCTTTTCTCTCCCTTCCTCACTCAGCAACTCTTTCAAATAACTAATTTCCAAAAATTTTTGAAACGTACAAATAATACAGCCAAGTATCTAATCCTTTAGGCAAGCCTACTGAAGCAGCTAGATAATATAGCTGCATCCCCACACAAACATACAATTTCCACTGTGGGGACACTTTATGCAAGGCATTAGCCACTTCGTATGCTCAGGCAACACAAGGTCTGATGAATGAATAAGTTACCAAAAGATTCAAATTAAAAATCATTTGGTTTCAGTTTGTTTACATCACAACTTATTTTTGAACTCTGTCAGCTAGATGGGACAGATCCAGGAAATTCACAAATCTGTCTGAGAAGGCTTCTTCCTTACCCAAAGTAGCCTGGTCTGGATTTTCAAATTCCAGGTTTCAATTCCTGGGAGAAACTTAATAACAACAAAACCAACACTGAAGGAATTTGCCTCATGTTTTTAAATTTATTTATGAAATAAACACAAAATTGAAATACTTATTAAATGTGTGTGGTGTGCATAGCAAAATACAAGCATATTCCAGTTTTACTTAACTGAGGTCCACTTTACCTAGCAATACAAGGCACATGCGTAGCAAGCAGGACACAAGAAATCCTCGAGTTTCCCAGAAAAAAACTTCTACGAAAAGAAGGCTGTAAATACCATCAGAAACCTAGCAATTTGGCAAGCCTTTTGCACCTATCAAACAATTCATCAGAGTCCAGACTCATTTTACCCCAGCAGGCAAATGCTTCCTGTATAAAATCCATCAACTTTTCCAGCCAGTCACGTACTGACAGGTGCTAAAAGACGGATCAGCAATACTGGCTTTGGCATTAAACCCAACCCGACGCTGGGTGTGTCCAGGAGGCCGTGCAGCCGGACCTACTGCCCCCGAGAGCGGGGTGCTTCTTCTAGACGGTGCCTCCCGTGACTGCCCGCGTGACTCGGCACCCCACCGAAGTCCAACCCGCCTCCTCCTCGCCCCAAGCTCTCTCCCAGCCAGGGCCTCCTTGCAATCCCCAGACTAGGGCCTCCAGGATGCCCCCTTGCTAGTCGCCTGCTCGGTCCCCTGCAGGCCAGAGGCACGCTCCCCCGGCCCCCATGCCAGGGGCCGAAGAGGAGGAGTCACTGGAGACCCGGTCCCTCCCTCCAGCGGGGCTTACCCTCCGCCGCCTCCTACACGCTGCAGCCGCCCCGCTTCCTTGCGGAGCAGCCCGAAGCACTGTGTCCAGCAGCAGTTCCCCATCGCATGCCGCCCGGGGCCGCCGTTCCTCCACCTCCTCCCGCTCAAAGCCCAAACCCAGCTCCGGCAGCCGCATCCGCGCGGCACGAGCCGAGGGGGCGGGGGTGGCTCGGGGACCGGGAACACACAAGGAGGGACGCGGCGCTCGGGAACAAAGGCAGCGGTTACTCCCGGGGCCGCCAAGCCGCCGCGCAAGGGAGGAGCGCCGGGCTGCGGGCTCCAGGCTCCTGCGCCGTCCGCATGGCCCCTCTCGCCCTGGCCCCCCGGGACAACACCGGTGACCGCCTCCAGCCGCCGGGGAAGGCCGGTCCTGGGCGAGCGGGACGCCCAGGCCCCGCCTTCCCGCGCGTCCCGGCTCGCGCCCCGCCGCCGACGGCACCACACCCCCGGCTTCTCCGGGCACCCCATTGGGCGTGCGTCCGCGACGGCGCCGCCTCATCCGGCGCCCGCTTCTGACGGCACTTCCGCCAGCTCCCGCGGAGCTGAGCCGCCGTTTCTGCACCTGTTTCAGTCTCTGTATGTTGGTGGACCTCGACCCGGCCTACTGCTGTCCTCTTGGTGCCATGCTGGCCGCGTGTCCTTGGCTCAAGGCTGCGCTTTGTGAGCGCGCCCCTGGCGTTTGCTAACAGTGCACTTACTAGTGGGGAATAACAGTCGGGGAGTGGGGGGCGCTTGATGGAAGTTACTGGGAACACACCAAGAATGCTTTACTTCCCAAACTTCCGTGTGAACCTTGTGGGCAAACTCATTCAAAATCAAACAGTTGGGGCTGAGGAACTGTTGGCATCCTTGGGAATTTGAGGGATCTTGTTGAACAGGTTGTTCAGCTCTGCTGCCTGGGGACCGAGAGAGCTCCTGGGGCGCGTCCTGCTTTGTGCCTAGTTGAGAGTTGTTGGCCGTTTTTCTGAAGATGAGATGTAAGGAATGGTCTGGTGGGTAGACAACATGCCTCTGTTGACCAACCAGACATGCCAGCTGTAACCTGTTTCAATTCAACCAGGCAAAAGTCAGTGTGTTCTTAAAATTTGTTGTTAGTGATAAAAATGTTCAGTCACTTTCTTGAAATCTAGACCGACCAGGTTTTGAGTCTTAGCACTGCCACTTAACGGGTTTTCGGGTCCAGTATTTACTGGAATAGCCCGCGCTGGGCCACTGGGTTATCACCTCAGTACTGACTGATGCTGTCCTCGTTAATGAGTGAAATGGTGCTGACAGAGATGCTATGGGATGTCTCTGGGTTAGATTCCCAGCTTCCTGCCACGCCACACCCGTGGCAGGAGATGGGAAATGGTTCCCTGTCGCCTTTGTGGGAAGCCGGGATTGAATTCCTGCTCCCACTTTGGTCTGACTTAGCCCCTGCCTTTGGGGGAACTTGGGGAGTGAACTAAGGGACAGGGAATGCTCTGTCTCGGCCTCACAGATAGAACCACAGAATATGTAAATCCACTGTAGTTAACTGGCACACTCACCCTGTTTACCGCAGCTGAGCAACGCAGTGAGTGCCCTACACATGATCACAGACTGCCGAATCAAAAGCCAGTCTCCAAAGCTTACACACTGTGTAATTTTCTAGAATAGTCTAGAAATACCAGAATTGTGCAGAGTGTGTGGTTGCTGGGGCTCAGGGAATGGGAGTGGATCCCTGTGGGCATCAGAAGTCAGTATCCTGAATGTGCCACTAGCCTGTGGTTTTATAAGACATTACCTTTAGTGAATGATAGGTTAACAGAACATACAAGTGGTGAACACTTCTATATTCTTAAGAGTGCATGCCACACTAGTTATCTCAAATAGAAGCTCAGTTAAAAAGGACAGCTTGTTAACGGGTCATTATTAAAGGTAAGTGTCACTGGAATGCTGGACTCTAAGCCATTCTCTAAACCTACGATAGGAGGGAGAATGATGGAGACGTGACCGTTGCTGAGGGACTGAAGTATTGTTACAGTACAGGATGCGGGAGGATGGCAGGGGAAATCCCTGAGCCTAAGGAACTTTATCATGAAAAATAAAGACTTTAATTAAAAATAAAAAGTAGCTGTCATTAAGAAATTAGTGTTTTGGGCCCAGCGGCGTGGCCTAGTGGCTGAAGTCCTCGCTTTGAACGCCCCGGGATCCCATATGGGCGCTGGTTCTATCCCAGCAGCCCCACTTCCCATCCAGCTCCCTGCTTGTGGCCCGGGAAAGCAGTCGAGGACGGCCCAAAGCTTTGGGACCCTGCACCCACGTGGGAAACCCGGAAGAAGTTTCTGGATCCTGGCTTTGGATCGGCATAGCATCGGCCGTTGCGCTCACTTGTGGAGTGAATCATCAGACGGAAGATCTTCCTCTCTGTCTCTCCTCTCTGTATATCTGACTTTCCAATAAAATAAATAAATCTTAAACAAACAAACAAAAAAAAACAACTATAGGGGAGTGGTGCTGGCATTGTGGCATACAGGTCAAGCAGTGGAAGATGTCCTGCGTGCTTGGACCCTTGCACCCACACGGAAGACCCTGATGCAACTGGTGGCTCCTGGCTCCAGTCTAGCCCACTGCTGTCCACTGCAGCCATCTGGGAAGAGAACCAGCAGATGGAAGATCTCCCTCTCTCTCCGCCCACATTTCTTTCTCTTTTAAATAAGTAAATCTTTCAAGCAAAAACAAATAATTAACAAACTTGGGGGCCCATCACCAGCTGCCTATACCTTCTGGTCCATGTGTATGTAGTTTCATCGGTTGGTCTGCTTTACTGAGTTTAATGCATGCCAAATAATTTGCTTCGTTCTCTACTCACCAAACATTGATGGTTCACAAAACGCAGGCTAGTAGGAGCAGTCAGACGCCCAACATGAAGGGCTTCCGCTGGCAAGAGTTGTTCCAGATTTCTCTTGCCTAGCAGGAACTCTCCTTTAATTACTTCCACAGAAAACTTTAACATATGGAATTATTAGGGAAGTTAGTGATGGCTAATGCTAGAAGGAAAGTGTACAATAGAAAAGTAAAAGTGGCTGTCAGTTCTATAACTGAGAAAAAGTAAAAAAAGAAAAAAAAGGAATTTAGACATTTAAGGGAAGGCTGTACCTACAACACAGATAACTTACATGTCTGGAATATGCAGGCGCCGTAGAAGCGTGCTGCCCGCTATTGTGAGGGAGGTGGATAGATGTCCGTGAGGACTAGGGGGCACTCTTCACCGTGGACAGCATCGCCAGAACTCCTTCCTGCTGACCTAGTGGCCACCGTTTGAGGAAAACTTCGCGGGGGGTGGGGGGGGGGGGGGACACATTCCGTTCCTTAACTGTCTCTGCAGCGCCCTCTAGTGGAGGATCTTAATATAGACCCAGCCAGGAACAGAAGTTCTATCATCAAAAAGTCAGGGCAATACCTGGCACAGGTTTTATTATTTTCCTAGGAACAAAAGGCAAGCTTTGGATACACAGAGAAGACGGGTTAATGAGGCGAACCCTGAATAAAGCCAGAACACTTGGAGGGTCTTCACTCTGGCTTAAGGAAATGATTAGGGGAGGAAAAAAAGCCACCGACTCCATAGGAATTAAAAAGAAAGTTCGTCAGTAGTGAGAATTTATGATTAGAAAAGAAGCCCTTCCTTCTTTCCAGGAAAGAGCTGAGATTTACCTGAAACTTGGTGCCTTGGAGCCCCTGGCTAAGAAGTTAACAATGTAAATTAATTCGGAGCAGTACTGTCCTTGAACTTTCTCAAAAAGTAAAACCCAAAAACCCAAATCGCCCTGAGAAGACCAGGGGGAGATGGCAGAGGGTTCCCTGAGGAATTCCACACGGAACATAAGTCTACATTCACAGCCGTGGCTGGGTACCGGCAGACATTGAGGAAAGAACTCCAGGAATCGTACAGACTGAGAAAAAGGCAAGCACAGGGACACTGTAGCCCAGCATGCCGGAAAGAAATCGGCCTTAGCTGTTAAGGCAGCTGATGAAAGTGAGTGCCACATCAGAAAACCTGGGTTGGGTTCCTGGCCATGCCACCTGTCTCCAGCTACCTGGTGCAGCTTCTGGGTGCTGACTTCAGCCTGCCTCAGCCCTGGCTGGGGCACACAGTGCAGTGAGAGCTTCCTGTCTCTCTGCCTCACAAATAGATAAATAAAAAATTATTAACAGGCATGCTTATTCTGGCTAATGTCACAAAAAAACAAGACGAGGAAATGCAAAAGAACCATTATAACAACTGAAAAATGAAAGCTGCTAATTCATGGAGGGGCTGGCATGGTAGTGTTTCAGAACAATCCCGCACATGTGGCACTTAGACTGTGTATGGGCGTTGGTTCACATCCCAGCTGGTTCGTTCTGGTCCAGCTCCCCGCTCACGGCTGGAGGGCGGTGGAGGACGGCCTCCACCCCTGGGCCCTCGCACCCGTGTGGGAGAGCTGGCTTCACGGTGGCTCCGCTCTACCCGTTGTGGACATTTGGGAAGTGGAACAGTGGATGGAAGGTCTCTCCCTCTCTTTACTGTTCCCTCTCTCTGTGTAACTCTGCCTTTCAAATAAACATAAAAAAAAAAGAAATTTAAAAACAAAATTAATTAATGGGAAGCTTTGTGCTTCCAGGTAAAGAGACGTGAAAGATGTAAGGTAAGAACACTCCTCCTCCCTAGTCCCAGTTAAAACTATGGACAGCAAGGAGTAAAACACAAAACAAAGGCTTGGATGTACTGAGAAATAAAGCATGCCTGGGTACCTAGAAAGCCCTAGCACTGAGGAATAATGTGCCTGGTTTGAATGTGGACAGAAGAGAAACTAAACAAAATCAGGCAACAGTCGGCTGAGAGGCACTGCAGTCTGGAATTGCCTGTAGTGGATTTCTGTTTTTCCAAAAATGGCCTTATTTATTTATTTGAAAGTCAGATATACAGAGAGCAGAAAGAAACCGAGAGGAAGATCTTCCATCTGTTGATTTACTTCCCAAGCAGCCGCAACGGTTGCAGCTGAGCCAATCCAAAGCCAGGAACCCAGAGACTCTTCCGGATCTCCCACACGGGTGCAGGGTCCCAAGACTTTGGGCAATCCTCGACTGCTTTCCTAGACCACAAGCAGGGAGCTGGATGGGAAGTGAGACCTCCAGGATTAGAACCGGTGTGGATATGGGATCCTGGTGCATGGAAGGTGAAGACTTTAGCTTCTAGGCTACTGCACCCGGCCCCCAAAAATGTTCTTAATTATATCTATTTCTTTATGTGAACATGATTTGTTCTCTTCAACATTCATGTGGGAATTTAATCCCTATTATGATATATTAAGAAATGAGACCATGTGGGACTATTAGGAGGGGATTAGAGTCTGCCCTTATAAATGGAGTA